TTCGCAAACTTTCCGCTCCTCAGATCAGTTTCTTTGCGGGAATTCTCCACCAAAAAACTGTGTAAGAGCAGGGTGCTGTGGCGGTGCACGTTTGCCATATACGTAATCATGATAGCAAAAAAATTCGCAAAGCAAAAGCAGTTAGCAGTCGTTCCACGAGATACCTCTCTCTGTCTATACAACGATCAATGATGTGAGTAAATACTAAAATTGGCATGTTTCGTTTGATGATTGACACTCTTAGTTTCCTTTGTTGTAGAAAAAAGAGCTTTCAAATAGGCGCATCGCTTGTCTAAAATGAACTTTTTATTGCTTGGAGTGGTGGCTTCAATGTTAACAGATGCATTAAGAAAACATGCTTCAGACAAAGCGATCAGCTTAGGCATAGAACAGTTTTCGACTCTGGTCTGTCTTTGATTATGTTGCGTACAACATTTGCTAGCGAATGGAACGTGAGCCGATCGAGTTGGTGGGACTAAACGAAAAAGTTCATGATTTTTCTACCACATAAAAACTCGGAGTTACGCACTGCCATTAGAAGTTTGGCATCATCTGATGACGCCAACTCCTCGGCTGTGATGATACCGTAGTGAGAAAGTAGATTCAGCGCCTGAAAAAATTAAAGGGATATGTTGAACGAGCTTGAAGTTGTGCATGAAGATTACGAATTTAAGCCAACTAACCAACAAAGCATCTTTTACATATAGGTACTCTTTGCCAATAAGGTGCTCAAGATTGTTTCCGCTTTGAGGGATCAAACAGTGGAGAATGGTTATATTATCAACCAGCCATTTATATGAAACCTGAAAAAAGTAGACGTTGATAGCAAATGCTGTCCCAACCAATGAATGCTTGAGCTGTACCTCCTGTGATTCGCCAAAACTTCCGTTAGCTTTCATATGTTTTTTGATCAATTCCATATCTTCCAATGTTAAGCCAAAGGATGGGCTAAGCATATAGCGGCATGATCTGGAATAAAGGTTTTGATCCTAGAGATACATTGTGATGAATGGGCTTACTCGTCTAATTGCGTGCTTTGAACGCTGAGAGAAAAGGGATGAAGCGAAGGAATAGTGGACATCGCTGTTGCGTCCACTGAAAAAGGTAATCAGGTTATGACATTATGATATGATGATATGCAGAAACTGGCTGTTGAGGATACTCACTCTGTAAGGAGCCATCAAGTTGTGGTTCTGGTTTAATCGATGCAGGAGAAGTGGAATGGAATTTTGGAGAT